GGCACCCACCCTCACCAGCTGGGGAGGAATGCCCTGGGACAAGAAGTCCTGCAGGTTGACCTGGTCACCAGAGAGGAGTGGCCCTAGGCCCTCCAGGGACAGCTGCTGGCCCCTCGGGCTGGGCTATAATTCCAAATGTGGGTGCTCAGATGCACCTGCCAAAGGGAAGGGAGAGGAGAGGGTAGAAGGGTCATTCCCAGGGAAGGTGGAGAGGGTTCTTCTTGGGAATGTGAAAGCTGTAGAGAATCTATTTTCCTCAGGTACAATGAATGAAGAGGAAAGAAGAGTTTCTCAGGGGGCCACCCCCCTGTAAGCACAAGGATTTCAAAGCTCAGGGATTAGAGAAAAGCCACTAGGGACACATCATGTAAGAACTCAGAGAAATAGACAAATAAGGGCTCATAGATCTTGGAGGTCCTTCTACAGAGCTCTCGGTTTCTGGCCCCGGGGTCAAGGGGCAGCAGGTTCAGAAAAACAGGCTCATGGGATCGTGGGGTCATCTTTTCGGGGAAAGGGGGACAGCCCTGGGGAAGTGATGGAGGATGAGCAGCCAGGGACCAAGGAAAGAGCAGCAATATTCTGAGGGCCGTGGGGGGCAAAGGGCTGTACCTGGTGGTGAGCCAGCAGCATATGCTTCTTGAGGGTAGCCCGTTCGAGAAAGCCCTGCCTGCAGAAAACACAAGTAAAGAGCGGCCCCTCTTTGGGGTGGGTCTTCTGATGCTCCTCCAGAGCTGCCTGGGTGGGAAAGGTCTGGCCACACACCTCACAGGCCTTTCTGCTACTGCTCTCTCCGGGCTCCTTTCTCATCGCTTCCTGCAGGCTCAGCTCCTCCACCAAGGTGGGGCTGCTGCCTTCCCCTTCTAGAGCCAACGCTGACACTGGGCTGGCGCTCCTCTCAGGTTTGCCCCCCTCTTCTGTGCCTCCTGCAACATCACTGCCGCCCTGCTCCACTGGCTGCGTTCGATCCAGGCTGTCAGGCGGCGGCGGCGGTGGCAGAGAAGGCTGTTGAATCGTTTTCTCATTACTGTCCATCTCCTTCCCAGCTGTGGCCGCGGCCACCACGGTTCCCACTTCCTCCTCTGCCCCGGAGGCCTCTTCTGAATCACCACGCACTGATATCGCCTTCTCACCTCCACTCTCGGAGCCTCTCCCTGCCAGGGAATCTTCATCAGTCACGTCTTCCTCTTCTTCTTCGTCCTCTTCTTCCTCTTCTGACAACTCCTCTTCTGGGGATGGCTGCTGGGATGGCTGCTGGGGGAAGCTCCCCGCCCCAGAGACTGCAGACTGCTCAGGGCCGTTCTCCTGGGCAGTTCCCCCACCTTCAGGGAGCGTGGTACCACCGTTGGGGATCTGGCCCCCCAGGTGCATCCGAACATGCTGCTGCAGAGTAACAGCATTGGTGAACTTCTTCTGGCAAATGGGGCAGGAGTTCTGGGCCCGGGCAGCTGGACTAGCCTTGTGGCCCACGAAATGTGCGCGCAGATTGCCCCGGGTAGAGAAAGCTCTGCCACACACTTTGCATTTAAAGGGCCGCTCACCTCCATGTTGGCCGTAATGCAGGCGCAGTGCTCGAGGACAGCTCAGCACCCGAAGACAAATGACACACTGGTTAGGTCCCGATGAGGCTGAGGATGAAGTTGCAGGGGCAGAGGTTGTGGAGGCTCCCGAAGCAGTAGAGGCCACTGCCACGGCTCCTTGACGGTCAATCTTCTCTACCAGTTGCTGCAGCTTGGAGGTCTCAGAGGGTGAAGCCCCCAAGGGCTCTAGCACATAAGGAAAGGGGAAGCTACCAGTGGACTTAAAGTGGTTGGTAAGCAGGGCCCAGCTGGGTAGCGAAGTCACCAGCTTACTTAGCTGCATGCGGGTTGCTGTGCCACTTTCTGCCACCCCGGCGATGGCTGAGCCCTCGCTCCCGGGTGGGGTGTTTTCATCAGCTTTACTCTTTGGCTCTACCGCTTTCATGAGCACGAACTTATTGAAAGCAGGGAGCGTAGGAGCCGTGGCTGTGCCTGCCCCGGTGGAGAGCAGTGTCAGGCTCTCTGTGGCACTGAGTGCCGTGGTGGAGGCCACCAGAGGCTTGCGTTCCACACCGCCACCTGGCATGGCTGCCTCCTCCTCGGCCTTCTCTGGTGGCACGGACATACCATAGGGCAGGCCGCTGCTGGTGATGACGTAGTCCAGATGCTCTGGTACCGGGTGAGGGTTCATCTGCACGTGCGGGTACTTCTCCCGATGCCGGTGGAAATGCACTTTGAGGTTGCCACGCGTGGTAAAGCGGTTGCCACAGACGTTACACTTATAGGGCCTCTCACCTGTGTGGGAACGCAGGTGGATCTGCAGGGCACTGTCACTGCCAAATACTTTGGCACAAAAGCGGCATTTGTGCCGTCCACCAGGCTTCTCCAAGGGACCCATCAATTCCCCATAGCCCAGCTCACCACCTCCATTCTTTGGCTTCAGGAGCCCTGGGGAGGCAGTAGGCTCGAGGCCCCGGGCTGCCCCAAGACACTGTGCTGCCAGTAGTCCCGTGGTGCCTGGGAATGCCAGATGAGGCGAGGCAATCAGCTGATCTGTGCTGCCTGACAGGGCCGGGGAGGGGGCAGGGGTGGGTTTGTGGCTTCGCCCGACCCCTCCGGCAGCAAAAGGGTGCTGTGACCCCAGTGGATGATAAAGGTGGAAGAAAGCCTGCTTGGGTGTTTCCGCCCCTGAGGAAGAGGAGGTGGAGGAAGGCGCCAGTGTCTTGCCAGTTTGGACAGGCTTGATGGGGCTGAAGAGGGGGAGCAAGGGCTTGGTGGAGGAGACGGCGGCTGTCCCAGGTAACTCGGAGGGGCTGGAAGGGGTGCCCACTGTCTGGCCTAAGGAGCCAAGCAGCAGCACCTGCCGGCAGATTTGCTCAGTCATCTGCATCTGATGGATCTGCCGCTGCTGCAGTACCCGGAGCTCTTCCAAGATCAGAGGGATGTTCAAGTGGCCGCTGCCTACACCTGGGGGCGGAGGAGGAGGTGGAGGGGGTGGTGGTGCAGGAGTGGATTCTGGAGGTAATGGAGTTGCTCCTAGCTTAGGGCTGGCCAAGATCAGGCCCCCACCTCCCCCAGCTGCTGTACCTGTGGCAGCTACGAGAAAGTGCCCCGAAGACTCCTCTGCCCTCCGCTCTGGGCCCCAGGTAGGATCTGTGGGTACAGAGGACCCAGAATCCGAGGGGTTGCTCGGCTCGGCCTCCATGACCTGGGGACTGCTGTGGCCCTCAGGCCGGGGTTCAGAAGAGGTCGAAGAGTTGTTGGGGTTCTCCTGGCCCCCAATTATCACCATTACAGGGGGGTCAGGAGAACATGCATTCTGGTGGGCGAGGAATTCAGCTGGGTCAGTGAATTGTGCGCAGCACTTGGCACAGACTTGGGGGTGGTCCTCCTCGCTAGCATCACCTGGGGAGAAGACAAGGAAAGAGCGTGGGTGGTGCGGTTCGGATGGGTGTGCAGAGGCTGTAATTAACAACGAGCCCAGTAACCGCTAGTGGGGGGTGGGGAGATGAGCTCACCATCCGGCTGGCCGTGCAGGAGGCTAGAGCTCAGTGCTGTCCCGCCTGGACAGGAGACTCGCCAGCACTGGGGGCCAGGAGGGAGGAGGAGCGGGCATGCACAAGCTACTCCCCCCCTCCACCACCATCCCCCCGGGCCACTGGCGGGCGCAAGGACTGGGTGTGAGGACCGGGTCCTGTGCGGAGAATCGTGCCTTCTATCTCGTCCACCGAAAGCCCTCTCCCCGCCCCCCGCGTCCCCTCCACCCCCACCCCTGCCCGGGCCGGGCCCTACCGCACCTCCAAGCTCCGCCGGCTCCCCGCAGGGCCCCCCGAGACGAGAGCTCCTCCCGGCTTCGTGCGCCATGGTTGTGTGGGAGGTGGAGGGCCAGGTGGAGTGGGAGACAATGGGTATCCGGATTGGGGGAGGCGGCAGTGGCCGCCGGGGCTGCGGCAGCTTCTGCACCCAGCGGCCCAGACTGCGGAGATGGAGATCGGCGGCGGGGGCAGGGAGCGGCGGAGGAGGGGGAGGGGAGCGAGGAGTCGCGGAGGAGGGGAGGAGCTGGAACGAGAAAGCTGGGAGAGGGGCGATGGGGGAGGAGCTGCTGGGGAGGGAGGGGAGCGAGCCCAGAGCCCAGAGCCCGGGAGGGTTTCCGGAGGCTCAGTGACAGGTGCTGTGGGGCATGGCGGGGGTCCACCTTTCCTTACCCTCTGCCAGCTCCCCCCATCTCCGGATGTCCTTGCCCAGACCTGCCCCCCTCTCCCTCCCAACCCCCCAGCAAGCTCAAGGGGGCACAGTAGGAAACACAGCCTTGCTCAATAGAGCAAAGCGACAGGCTTCTCTTATTTTCCTTTGGATAAAGGATCCGCTGAGCCTGGAAAACGTGGGCTCCAGAGAGGGTGGTCTGAGGGCCAGAGCGGGAGGGGGATCCCAGCACACCTACCCCTTACCTACACACACATATCTGGTACCCCCAGGATACCCCAAGTTTTGTCCTGTTTTCCTGACCTCCATTCCCACCCTACCCCCAGCCATCCACAAAAGAAGTTTCTCAGGGTGGGAGGCCGCGAGGTAGAATTTCCAAGGAAGTCGTTTCAGGACTCCTCTCTGCGTAACACTAAGCCCCTTTACTCCCCGCCCCTCCTCCCCCAGAATAATAGCTGAATGCGAGTTACTCCACAGATCACCAAGCCCACACCGAATTGATAGAGTTCATGCTTATTTAAGGGGCCATCTCCTATTTAGTACCCTCTTGTCTACCCTTCTTCTTCCGTTGTCTCTCTGGCAACACAGCCACTACTGAGGACAGTTGGGTTTGGGGAGATGCTAGCCTGCAGAGGCCTACCTAGCTCTAACCTGGGGGGAGGGGAGCTTCTCCTGAAACAATGGGGAAAATGCAGTAGGAGGAAGTTACCAAGCAGCCGCTCAGTGCCTAAAGCCCCTTTTAGCCCCAACCTGGCTTGAATGCCTAGGAAAGACTTAACACCTGCTCACCAGCACAGAGGTGGCCTCCTATTCAGGGAGGGGATAAGTAGGGATAAGATGCCTCCTGGACCAGGTACTCTGCATTCCCTTTCTACCTTGAAATGAGTCTTAATGGGTTTCCCACTTCCTTAAAAGAGCTTATCTTACTTACAGGAAATGACCACAAGTCCTTAGTTTTGTGGTTTGCCAAGGCATCAGTAAATCCACATTGTTCTAATCCCAGTTCCAATCTTGTCTGGCTGATAAATTGAGGCGTGGTGGTCAGTCACACCATGCTATGCCCCCATTTCCTTTTTTGTAAAGTGGTAATGTTGTAGCTGTGCTATCTTCATCAGACAAATATTGTGGGGATAAAATAATATGTATAAAATAATAATAATATGTATATATGGGACTTTAAATTTTGGGAGGAGTCCCAAATATTATGAATTAGAGAATTTATATTGTCAGTGGCAAAACAATCAAAATAAAACACATATATATTAAAATTAGATGTTTTCATGTTGCCTATTAATTTCTTATTTATTTATTTATTTATTTATTTATGGCCAAGCCGTACAGCTTGCACAGGACCTTAGTTCCCCGAACCCAGGCCCTCAGCAGTGTAAGCCTGGAGTCCTAACCACTGGACCGCCAGGGAATTAGCAATCTTATTAATTTCTGAGGCTGATATCATTGGCATATATCAAGGGTAGGAAGTCTTTTGGGGGGGGAGCTGAAACAATGTAACATTAGTAACGTCCACTTTCATTGAAAACATTGTACTGAATTATGTTTTGAAACTTCCGATAATCACAAGGGTTTTAACACTGTGGACAATGGCTCTGAAACAGATGAGCTACATGCTTCCAGGCCTGACCCTGACAATGAGGGAGAGGGGGTTCTATTTCAATATGGCAAGTCACAGGTTAATGCAATGTTGTTTATTTTTACAGATAAGAAAATGGAAGCTTGGAGAGGTTAAGTGACTCTTCCAAGTTCACACAGTAATTCAGTGAAGCAAGCATTCAGAATTTTGACTCCTGTCCAGTGCTTTCCCAAGCACATCAACATTGTGTGGCTTCCCTAAGCTAGAGAAAGGGCCCTGTGTAGCTCCTACCTGCCATTTGCTCTCTGGCCTCAGTAACAGAGAGGGAATCAGATGGAAGCTTTCTACTGAGCATTTGTTAATTAGCATTGAACATTTGATATCAAGTTGCTGTTTTGTCAAGTCTTCCGACAAGAAAAGAAATCCTTTTCTTTTCATCTTCTCCTGGGAAACACTGTCCCCTTTCTTGCTCTTTAATGAAACTTGCTTTCTGATGCGTAATTTGATCTGGGCTCTTCTTTAAGGTAAATTCAGTCCCTGGTGAAAGGTGACGGATCAGCAGCCACCTGTAAGAGGAAGCCTCTATTTCTCAGCACTTTGCACTCACTGCCTATCCTGAAAAGGGGGGCAGGATTCTTAGGCAGACACGAATGAAGTCATAAACACAGGAATAAACTAAGCTGGTAATGGTGTCCCTAGATAGCAGATAAGGTGAAGTAAGCTATCCTGGGTCACATGCAAAGTCTGGGGTGGACATAGAACTGAGACAGGGACATGCTTGTTGAAATTTATGAAGAGCTGAAACGACAAGGAAAAAGGAAACTCAGTGACTCTCTAAACCTGGTAACTCATTAAACTTGAGAGAGGATGGCTGGGAGAACAGAAAAATTGGTGGGTAGCAGGGTGGTAGAGCTGAACACAGGTTCTCAAACTTTGCTGCCCATGAGAATTACTGGGAGAGCTTTTAAAAATCCCAGTGGCCAGGCCATACCCTAGACCAATTAATTCAGATTCCCTGAGGGTGGGATCTAGGCATCAGTGTTTGTAAAGCTCCTCAAGTGATTCTGATGTACAACAAAGGATGAGACCCACAGTACACATCAGAGGAGTGCCCTCCCCATCAAACCTTCCACCCTGCTCCTCACAAATCTTACTTGTGCTCAACCTGGCCAAAATTAGGATGTAGGCAAAATGAGTTGCTCCATGCAAAATCTTCCCGTGGGGTTGCCTCTCTACTCTGACCACAGCCACACTTTGCCTCTCTTGTATCCTCCTTCCAGGAACAGAATTTGGCATGATATACACCTGTCTATGAATTTAAGTGACTGTATTGCCCTTCCCAGGGTATGTGCATCTTGAGCCATACTTCCAATTGTAAAATGAAAGGCTTTGTTCTACTCAGAGTTCAAGCATCATCCAGCCATTAAAGAAACAAGCACACTATGTAAGCCCCTGCCTAAACTTAATGTTGGACCAACACAGATTGGTAGTGTCCACAATTATGAGTTGATTCTGTAACTGCTGCTATAGATAACTTCTAAAGGAGAATGTCTCATCTTCTCTCCTCTCTCCTAAATACATACACATACTCCTTTGCTACCCATATCTAGTAAATGCACCCTTGGCCTGTGCAACACAGTGGACAAACAGGCACAAAGATTTATACATCTGGTGCTAAGTGAGAAAAATATATTTGTTTCCAGAATAGGAATATCTTATATCAAACACAAAAAAGTGTGTTTTTTTTTAAGGACGTTTTTCTGATATCAAAGGACTCGGCACTTGGTATGAATGGCACTTGGAATTCATACCATTTTGGAGCTGGAAGGGACTTTAGAGATATGACCTCTCATTAGGCACAGTGATTGAGAGTGCCAGCTCTGAATCAGACTTCAGTTAACATCCCAGCACTTTCTAATCTTTGTGACCTTGGGAAAGTTTCTTAATTTCTCTAAGGCTTGCATTTCTTTTAAAAATGTGGGTATAGGGCTTCCCTGGTGGCGCAGTGGTTGAGAGTCCGCCTGCTGATGCAGGGGACACGGGTTCGTGCCCCGGTCCGGGAAGATCCCACATGCCGCGGAGCGGCTAGGCCCATGAGCCATGGCCACTGAGCCTGTGCTCCGCAACGGGAGAGGCCACAACAGTGAGAGGCCCATGTAACGCAAAAAAAAAAAAAAAAAAAAAAAAAAAATGGGGGTATAGCCACAAAAAGGAATGAAATTCTTATACATGCTACAACATGGGTGAGCCTTGAAAACATTATGCTAAGTGAAATAAGCCAGACGCAAAAGGACAAATATTGTATGAGTCCATTATATGAGGTCCCTAGAATTGGTAAATTCACAGAGACAGAAAGTAGAATGGTGATTTCCAGGGGCTGGGAGTGTTGGGTGAAGGGAATGGGGAGTTATTGTTTAATGGGTATAGAGTTTCAGTTTTGCAAGATGAAAGAGTTCTGGAGATGGATGGTGGCGATGGCTGCACAACATTGTGAATATACTTAATGCCACTGAATTGTATGCTTAAAAATGATAAATTCTATTATGTATATTTTACCGTAAATTTTAAAAAATTTAATGGAGGTAATAATAGCAGAGTTGGGAGGAATAAACAAGAGGAAATATATAAAGGGCCTAGCATAGTACCTGACAAATAGTAAATGCTCTGCAAATATTAGCAATGAGTATTATTATTTAGAGTCTAAAAGCTGAAGCCCTGGCAGAAGAATGGACCTGCCCAAGGTCACAAAGCTTCAAGGTACAAGCTGGATTGAAAACCAGGTTTTCTGTTTCCTTATCCAGTGCTCTGTTGCACCCTCCTTGAGTTACTTTCTATCTACTCAGAAATGTTTTCTTTTTCACCCAGGAGTCCCTAGGGCTGAAAGGCTCAGGGATAAATACCCTGAGAGGCGATGCTCTCTACCTCCAGTTTTAAAGAGAACAGAACCCTCAAAACTCTATTTTTGCCTTCTTTCTCCTTTTGCTGCTCTTGTTGTCTGCCAACTGCCATTTCTCCCCCTAGGTCTGTTTGGCTGTTGTCCTGGTTTCTCCTTCTCACTAAATATCTGGGTTTCTGATCGTTTCCTTTATTTCCCAGATGTACTAGTTTACATTTTCCCAATTCACATCCCTTATGTTCTCTAATCCAGATTTCTAGACTCTGTAGGGGAGACAGAAATTTTTTTTCTCTCCAGAGTTTTTAAGTAAATAGACTATTTCCCTCTCATCACTTATGTGCAATAACTATTCTGGTAGGTTTTGGTGTTCTGGTCAGGGAAGCTGAGCAGAAACAGGGTGGGAAAACAGGTTTTTCGGACTGTGCCTTGGTGATATCTTAGGTCACTGCAGAGATGAGGCTTTTAAAATGTGCAACAAAGGCTCAGCATTTGCTTGTCACATATGGTAAACATTGCTTAAAAGAAGACAAAGACTCTTGAAAACCTTAGTGGCACCCTAGCTTACTAAATAAATGTCTGCTGATGGTCATGATGATGCCCATAGTTCCACAGGTATGCCTGTAAAAGGACATGTGTAAGAGCCCCCGAACAAGAGCCCTCCCTACCTAATTTTGGAGCATGCAGAACAAGAAACAGTCCCTGGGGCGGAAGGAAAACTCAGGAGCCTGAAGATCACATAAATGAATAGAAACTCTATCTATATATCTTACAAAAGCAGGAAGGAATTTAGATTTTCAGATATTAGCCACCTCATCTTACAAATGAGACCCAGTGACACTCCAAGTCATACAAGTAGCCCAAGGATCTTTCAGTCTCTCAGGAGAATTCTGAAGGCAGATCTTTCTTAGGGTTACTACTGCTTCCTTTCTCCTTAACATTTATGTTTTCAACTTTTATAGCTCAAAGGCAAAATTTCAACTGAAACTTGTTGCTGCCAGTGAGTTCAAGCCTGCATTGTTTCTATGGGGACGGCTTTGCAGCAGCATCCCCATGGCCCCAAGTGTTCACAGCCACAAGTGGGAGCTATAGTTCAAGGGGCTGGAGAATCCCCTCAGCGCAGTTGTGAAAGATTTCTTGTGACTCCCTCCCAGATTCTTCCTCAGCAGCGGTTTGGGAATGGGTGAACTGAGGATGTGGGAAGAAGAGACGAGAGCGGGGGAGAGGAGAGGATGCCTCTGGGTTGGAGGGGATTCAGCATTGTTCCACAATCTAACCAGCAGGGGAGCAGGACTGTAAGGCAACTCTGAGGCTCTGGGGGAAGAGTCTCCTGTAGAGCAGGAGGAGGAAACATCCGGCCTGCAGCAACATTAAGGGGGGGGGGGGGCTAACGGGTGTAAGGCAACTCTGAGGCTCTGGGGGAAGAGTCTCCTGTAGAGCAGGAGGAGGAAACATCCGGCCTGCAGCAACATTAAGGGGGGGGGGGCGCTAACGTGTCCCAGGAGGGAAGGATGCCACCAGCATGCCACCTCTTAATATTGGCACAGTGGGATCCCAGTAAAGCACTGACTTGAGGGGTATGTGTTCTACCCAAAACAATATGTCTGTGAAGGTTGTTCCGTAGCATGTTGTGAACTGATTTGATCTCAAGTCCTTTTTTACAACAGGTGGAAAGGTAAATTTAATCCATGTTTTAGTTTTAGCTACTACAAATACATTATCCTAGAGCTTTTCATGGCACATATCTCACAAAGAAATGCTGAAGTTCGCCAAGAGGCTCCCGAGCTTTGGTCATATTTCAGCACTTACAGGAAGTGCACTGTACTCACATATAATAATAATAATAATAATAATAGACTTCCCTGGCAGTCCAGTGGTTAAGACTTTGCCTTCCAATGCAGGGGGCGAAGATTCGATCCCTAGTCGGGGAACTAAGGTCCCACATGCCTCATGGCCAAAAAACCAAAACATAGAACAGAAGCAGTATTGTAACAAATTCAATAAAGACTTTAAAAATGGTCCACATCAAAAAAGTCTTTAAAAAAAATAATACAAATTAAGTACTTATTTATGCTAGGGACTGTGCCACATGTATTAAGCACTTATTTATGCTAGTTATTTTTCCAAGTGTATTACCATGTATTAACTCAGTAACCTAATGAGGTAGCTAGTATATTCATCCCTATTTTACAGATGAGGAAACTGAGGCATAGAAAGGCAAAGTAAACCAACAAGGTTGCACAGCTAACCAAGTGGTAGAGCCAGGATTTGAATCCTGAAAGTCTGCCTTCAGAACACTTGTGTGCTTAATCCTACACTGCATTGTTGGGTGAATCAACTGTTTGCTAAATAAATAGTTTATCCCTGAGCCAGGACTTTCAGACTTTCACAGTGTGAACATATGTAGCCATACCAAATTGTCCCAAACTTGCTCGATCCTAAGAATTACCTGGACATTTGCAAAGATACAGATTCCCAGACTCTAGCTCAGATCTACCCACAATCAAGCAACCTTGGAAAACCCTAGTTTAGGTGGAGTGCGCACCACTAGCCCTAAATGTCATGAAATTTAGGTTTCTGTCTTGACTGTACTCTGTTTCTGAGACTTTGGGCAATGTCACTTCTCAATACCTTACTTGCTCTGTTGGCTGCCTCTTACTTACTGGAATGTTATAAGAATACATGAAATTATCCCCCCTCATAAAGAAAATCTGTTAAACAAATGATCATATCCCCATAAAATGATATGCATGTATCAACAAGTATGTTAACTCATACACTTTTTTTAGCTTGGCTTTCCTTGAAACACAAACCTAAGCCCCTCATCCAGAACTTTCCTCTAGCCTCTCCTCCAGGTGACACAGATACACACCCCAAACCAGGCTGCATCTGACCGACATTAGCTCTCTCCCTCTGGGAGCTCCGATCTGTTCTCTGCTCAGCCCAACAATGAGAAACTTTTTTCTCTTCTCCCTCAGGGGACCCTTCACGTTTATCCAATTCATTCTCTTGCAACCCAACTCTCCAGAAAGAAAAGGGGGGAAAATCCCACCCCTAAGAGACGATCTTCAGGTCTGAGGAGGTTACTTAGCAACGGCACAAAGACCAGTGAGCAAAGGGGGGACCTGGGGAGAAAACTCTTGGGTGGGGAAACAGAGCCAGTTTGAAAACTCCATTTCATCCAGAGAAAAACAACACAGAAAACACAAACATAATCAACCCTGAGAAAAGCCAAGCGGGGCTTCTCCGCAGCACAGGTCATCTCCTTACACGCTGCATCTCAACTCTTTCAACCCCCCAGCGACCAAGTTCTCCCCCTGGTTTTGCCCATGGCCCGGGTGCCCTCCCCTTGCCCTGGCCTGACCCACACAGGCTTGGGCTCAAGGCCCCCCCAACCCCTCCCCGGCACCCACCGTTCTCAGACGCGCTGGGACCTTCGCAGTCCGAGATTAACTGTTGGGGTTTCCGCTGCTTTCGCCGAGACATTCCCGGGTGGAGAGAGGTGGGACGGGGAGGGGCAACTCTCACTTAGTCTTAACCGGGGTGACCTGGTCTGGTCTCCCCCTTGGGTCTGAAGCCAACTGATGCCTCTCCCCCAGTGCCAATCACTGTGAAGCAGAGATGTTCTCCCTTCCAAGGGACAGACAGACAGACAGACAGACGCGCGCGCTCTGATTCTCTGTCCCTGACTCTCTCTCTCTCTCTTCTCTCTCAATCTCTGCAAGTCTTTAAAGGGGAGACGCCCCCTTTTTTTTCTTCAGCTTCTTCCCTACGCTTCTGCAGCTCCCATTGTAAAAGCAAAAATCCTAATCTTTCCGCACACTCTTTTCTTTTGTACTGCAGAGGAAAGGATTTAACCCTCTCCTCCCTGCCCAGGCTCCCGGCCTCTCCCTGTGCTGTCTCTTCAGAAAATGTCCCTCGGTTGTTTTTTCTAACTCTTCTTCTAAGCTCTGCACAGTGCTTTTTGGTTATTTCATGACTCTATGCCACCTTGTTTGATGATGGGACTGCTTCTGAGGTATAAGCTGAAATGAGAACTTTCTGGTATATCCTGATTATAAGGCCAAGAAGTCAGCTACCTGCCAGTCAAAAATGAGGATGTGAAAGGCTGACAAAAAGACTGAGTAAAAAAGGTCATTATAATAATAACTTAATATATGTAGATCTCTTTATAATTTATAGGATATTTTCGTGTACAGGACATATTTTGAATATTACAACTTTGAGGTTAGCACAGCAGGTTTTACTACTCCTATTTATAGATGATCCTCTTTATAGATAAACCGAAAGCCTCAGTGAGGTTAAGTAACCTATCCAAGACTGCACAGCTATGATGCAACAGAGACAGGCCTGCAAGCCAGGTGTATCTGACAGTAGTCTAGCCTTTTTTCCCCTCTATATTGTTAAAGGTACAATATGCCACCAGATGCCTAGTGTGAAAAAAAAAAGTGATTGATCTTAAGGAATCTCATTTAAAATAGTGTCTCTTCTGTCTCTCCCACTCCTGTCCAGCTCCCAGGGTTGAGGGATGCCACCTTTGAGAAGACGATATAGATGAGTTCTCTGGTACTTCAGAGTAGAAGCTACAAGGAGGCACTTTCAGCTCAATATAAAGGAACTTTCTAAAGTGTAATAGACTCTCCAGTAAATGTGTGAAGTCTCTGTAATATGTTCTCACAGAGGCTGAAAACAGTTGTCAAGGATTCTGTGGAAAGAATTTCTTTGTGGATGTGAAGTTTGACCTTCAAGAATACATCATTTGGCAACCAACCAACTGGATCTCTCCTGTTCAGCTTGCACACTTAAGGGTGATTGGTTTATTGTTCTTTAACTTCTGACCTTGCTGTTCCTCCCTGAATTTAAGGTACTACTGTTACCCCTGGGCATAGAATATCCAGATATGCCCTATCTTCTAGCTTTATGCCTAGGTCCTCTCTTTTAACCTTATTTATCTTTTACTCTTCTGGCTAAGAGAGCATCTGAAACACCATCTGTTAGGAAAGTGGGAGTGATTTTCCCCTTTGGAGTTGAGTGATGCAAATCTCTGATGGCTGTGACTTCACAGAATAGCAAAGCAAAGCTCACTCAGTGTTGGGTGCAAACTTGAAGTTTCCGTCATTCCTTCCCTTACGCAAGTCCAGGCTATTTTGGCAACAATACTAAGAAAGGGAGAGAGAGACAGATGGTAGGAGGGTTGCTGGGATAAATGAAGCAGGTACCACCATCTGAAGAGATTTGGAAAGCACTCTGATCTTTGCTTTGGAGTTCACTGAATCTCCATTATTTTCCCAGTCCTTTAGGGTCAGGACCTTGAGTGGCTCCCTCACGGTCAACCCTTGGAACTCTTGCTGACATTGTCTCATTCATCCTGTTAACCTCCCTGTGGTAGACAGGTGCAGCTATCACTAGGCTATTGTAGGGGAAATGGGAACACTGGGGCCAGGAAAGCTTCTAATTTCTCAGTGGAATAGACTGGGTTTTGTCACTCTTTCATTCCACTGTTTCCATCTGTACTTCCTCTTTGAGGAAAAGAAATGAGAGAAGGAACATAGCTTTCTGCTTTTCTCAGGAATCTGGAGATCTCCAAGGGCAGATCTGGGGGCCCAATATTCATCTCTTTACTGAGTCTTGTCTGTCTGGTCTTTTCCTACTTTGGTCCACCCTCCTTCTTGCTGGCCTTATTGTGAAAGGAAGGGCTCTTTCCCCTCCTCTCCTTTCTTCCGCCCTCCCCCATTTACCATTTTTTCCTTTTACCTCTCCACTGTGGCCTCTTGACCTCCCCACAGAGTTACAAAAGTAAAATCCTTGAAGAGATGCTGCTGTGGGAATGTTAATGAGCCTTCCCCACAAAGGGGCAAAGACTTTACTTCACTGAGTTGGAAAAAAGCCCCTTTGAAAAGGGGTTTCTGTGTGTGGTGAAGTGGAGAGGGGAGGGGAAGGAGAGAGAGGGAGAGAGAGGGAGAAAAGAAGGGAGGGAGAGAAAGAGCAAGAGAATGAAAGGAGAGAGAAATGAGAGAGAGAGAGAGAGATTGAGAGAAACAGCAGAAGAGAATATTAAAACAACACTGTTCTTTCTTTAATTGGTGATTTAATTTTTGGAAAATGTTCCATAGTCATTTGACCTCGTAAACTCAGCATTTAAGTTCCCAAAAAAGCTGAAGAGGCACTCATGGGCGTTGAAGATAATAAAGGATGGGAAAAAGGGACTTATCCTGGCACCCTGTCCCCAGTTCCTTCTCATGTGTGGGAGACTGAGAGGCTCTAGTGGGGGAGGATATTCTGGATGGGGGGAGTTGGTGGTGAAGATGGGCTTCTTATTCCAGTTTTGTGGTTCCTCCTTATGATATTTTCTAATTTTATCAACATTTTCTATTTTGGCTTCCCTATTGACTTAAAATTTTTCCTCTCTTCAGGAATAGCTTAAAGTACTGTTGGGTGTTTACATTGTGGAGCCAATTTTCAAGCCAGACCACTTGAGCATAATCTCTGTATCCTTCATTTGTGAGCACAGGTTGCCTCTGAATTAGTTAAAATGGATGTTAAGGTACTGTTAGTATCAAAAAAATAAGTCCCTGAAAAGCAAAGATATGATGTTGCTTTTTAAAAAAATTGAAGCATAATTGAATGTTGTTGCTCTTTGAAGAAAGCCAGTCATTATGTTTGACTCTCAGAGATTTTCCTACACATTGTTTTGTGATAGCAGCACAACACTCCAGTTAAAGAAGCCCAGAACTGTGAAGAACAAAGAGAAGGTAGGTGATTGGAATGAAATCTTTGGAAGAGAAAGAAGAGGGGCCAGTCAGGGATGCTAATTCCCAGAGCTCTGTAACTCCTCTGGACTCAAGGTAATCAACCACATGGGGAATTTACCTACCGAGAATTCACATTCCTAGCCTCTACCCCTGATCTACTTAATCAATCTCAGGGGTGGGGGGTGGGGGGTAGGGGGGTGGAGCCTATGATTTAAAAATAAGCTCTTAAATGGTCCTTTTGCAGTTTGAGACAATTGAGCTTGACTGTTGCTTTCTAAACCATAAGCTCTAGATTCTTAGGGGTCTGCAGTGTTGTTGCAGCAGAATCCATGTACACATGAAGTGAGCCCAGCCTGTGGCCCCAATAAATAACATGCCTCTCAAATGTATATACTACTGTTGCCCAAATGTTTGTTGATCTCGTTGAGTGTAATACACTTTTAAGTCACTGAAAGTGTTTCTAGACTCATAGTGGCTTTTGCTCTAAAAATACAACTACAGTCATGTGGCAGTCCAGGAAATTCTTTGCCATTTCATTGAAGGCCTCTTCTCTCGGGACAATACCCTGCTCTTAGCATTCCTCTGTTTCTAGTTTGTAGAGGAGCAGGCACTGTGGAAGCATTTTGTCTACCTTCCTGAAAGTTAGAATCCCATGAGGAATTTGATTTTAATTGCAAGAGAACTAAACTAGGAGTCTAGAAATCATGTAACCTTTCTATTGATAACCATAGTCATAGCTAATCATAGCTTGGGTGCATTCTGCTTACTACGCCCTTTAATTGCACGGTCTCATTTAATCCTTTAAATAACTTTGCAAGGTAAACATCGTATAATCCCCATTTTAGACAAGCAGAACACCCCATTTTACAAATGAAGAAACTGAGGCATGGAGATGCAAAGTAGCTTTTTCTTGTTCAAGGTCTTACAGCTGAAAAACAGCAGGTTGAAATTTGCCCAAGTAATGCCTGATTGGACAGCCTGTGTTCTTTTCACCACAGTGTGACCATTTATTGCCATCCCACTGATTTCTGCCTCTGCTACAGGCCTCACTTTCTGGGTGCAGACCTGGAGGATGACAAACTTTCAACTTACAGAGAAAATGTGAAGACCTACAAGTAAATATCTACAACAAATTATGGTTCTTATAATCACATGTACTACCACATGTTCTTTGTCTTGCTAGCATTAAGGGAGTTAAGGCAATGAAGGGTAAGGGAAAAGTACCCTCTGCAGAACTTTATTAAATAAGAAAGCACTGGCAAGAAAACCTTGGTTTTATTGGATGATTTCTGCCTGGCCTCTTTCAGGTGGCAGTTGCCATGGTGTTTTAGGGGCAGAGGGAGGGAGTGAAGATCAAGGAGGTCATTCGGACTGAGGCTTTTCTGGTGTGTCTTTTCAGAGTTCATTCTGCAAAGGATGGCAGGAATTTAAACATTCATAAGAGAAAGGACAGAAGTTATTCTTTTTGTGTTTCTTAATTTCCCCATGTTACTGATGTTAAATAAAGGGGAAACGGAGTTTGTGAAGAGGTCAAGGCTGTGGAACAGGAAAGGGAGGTTGTGGGGGAAGGGCCAGGAGCCTAGCAGGCAGTTGGGAAAGCCTAGGGTGGGGGTGGGGAGGAGTGTGTGCGCGTGTGTGTGCGTGAGTGCGCGCGCGCGTGCGTGTGTGTGTGTGTGTGTGTGTGTGTGTGTTTTCAAGGACAAAATTATAAGAACAATTTGCTAAAGTTCTGGGGAGCCTGAG